CTAATTTAAAAAATAACGCACACTTTAAATGCATGTGGATGTGCAAAGACACATCAAAAAACCCCCACGCATAGAGAAGGTATTTACAGTAACCCACATATCTTGAGTTAATTAACCTGTCCTGCTTCGGTTTTCAACACTAATATAATTATGAGTTAAGGAGAGCCATGTGAGCCTTCCTGAAGCAAACAGTACCTCCCTAACGCTGCTGTTCTAACTCAACAGGAATGAATAGGCTTTTAGCATTTTATAGAGAAAGATTTCAGCTGAAATTTTGCTTATTTCCTCTGATGATTTTAGATTCAAGATTGCAAGACAGAAAAATAATAGAAATATAAAAATACCTCCTTTTCTATTGATGTTTGCTTTACTAAATAAAGAAGATTAAAAAATATATTGTATGTGCTTTGCATTTTAGACAAGGAAAAAGTTACCATATTCAGTGAGAAGACAAATACATTAGAAATTATGATAAAGGAATCTGAAGTATCACTAATTATCAAGAACTGGAGCTGTTCTACAAATCCCCATTAATGAGCAACATTTACCTTGTCATTACTCAGAACTTCTAGCTGTGTATGCTTCCCCTTATAATGTATTGACAGGATTCAAATAGAAAAGGATGTTATATATCCTTTGGGTTGAGTCCTACTTTGAGAGCCTTTCATGCAAGAATGAAAAAAAATCTAAAATAAATAATGGGATTATGTTTACTGTAAGATATATATGAGTATTCATTTTTTTCTTTAAGCATGGAACAGAACGCATAGGAAAAACATGAACTGTTTCCTTGATCTTTTTTTTAAAAAAAAATCAGATTAGTGGAGTACAACTAGATTAACTGCATGAACAAATCAACATAAATGCTATTGTAGCAGCCTGTGCCTAGCAGAGCTGCCTCTTTTTTTGAGAAGTACAAATGAACTGCAATTGAGCTTCACACTAGTGTTGAGTCATAAAGATTTTCATTTCTTGCTCTTAGAAGGGTTACAATTCATAATGAAAAGTCCCAAGTTCATAATTTTATTTTAAATATAATTTTTTGTTATGACTGTGGAAATTAAAGGTAGCACATAATTTGAAGTTGCTGCAGTCCAGAATGCTATTTGTGAATTAAACACAAGACAGTATAATATGTAAAAATGAATATTCTTGAAGCATAAATGTGAGACAGATTTTGAAGTCTTTCAGCATATCCTCTGTGTTCAGTAAGTCAAGTCAGTCCTGAGTAAGAGAAACTTTTCTGAAGAAGTAAAATTGTATATCCACCATTAGCTTGGGCCTGCAGGTTTTGCCAACCCTGCAAAATCTGAAATAATTGAGCATAGGTCCTATATCTAAAAATCTAATAAAAGCCACCTTTCTGCAATTGGTGGTGTGATAAAATTTAATTCAACTTTGAATAAATGTTGAGATTCTCAGCTGACATTACATAATACCAATAAATTGCCTTCTTTTCCTGTGAGAGAAATAACAATCTTGTATGTTAGTTTGTTAAATCAGACTGACACAGAAAACGTATGTTGTCCAGTTCAAAGATTGGGCAAAGATAAAACATGAGATGCTTCTGAAAAATTAACTGAAGAATTAGAATTTAGCTGAGCTAATCACACTAATTACATTAGAAATCTGTTATTAAAGTTGTAGAATTCAACTTGCTAAAGGTGAAATTCCACCAGAAAGGATGATCACATTCTGTCATCCTTTTATTTCCCTTCTTTTTGTGTACTCATGATACTGTACTTAAATATCTAACAATATATATAATATA